TGCTCCCTCCTGCCAGGTCTGGGTCCCTGATCCCAGAGCCCCATCCCAGGGCCATCCCTCTTGCTGTCTCCCCTCCCCAGACTGACCATTTCCCCATTTCCTCCATGCTCCCTGTTATCCCTGTGTCCTGGCACCTCACAGCTGCAGGCTCCAGCTGCTCATATCTCCACTCTCCTTCCCACTCAGCCCCAATTTTCCTCCCCTCTGATCCCAGGATCTGCTGCCTCCCAGCGAAGATGAAATATTCAGCGATTACAGTCAGTAAGCCCTAAGCATATGCAAATGGCTCTTTTTGAGAAGGCTTGTATCCTGGCTAAATTCAGATGCTTTGTCATGCAAATGGAAGAAAGACACATCTCTGGAATCAAATCCCTCATCCTTTTTCAACCAGATTTCAAGTGTTTTGAAGGAGAGGGGTATCACTGGTCTTCCACGGTAAAAGTTGAGAAAACTTTTAAAACGTTGGCAAACACCTATTGTCTTTGCCCAGTTTTCAAAATGGGCCACATTTCAACTGAACTTTTACACACAACAAAAGTGAAATGATTCGGCAAAGGCTTAAATATTGCGTCGTAACATTTCCACCCAAAGAGTGCAAGTTTGGCAAAGTTACTGAAACCTTGGCTGCTTTATTACTTGTGACAGTATCATATGCCTGTAATTTAAGTGGAATGATTTTCTTCTGTGTACCTGTTTAATCTGAATGGCAGCACATCCATTACCAGAAACATTTTCATGTGCTCCCAAGACACCTGTGCAGAGTAAATGAGCACCTGAAGCACAGGGCCAATAATAAATACTGATAAATAGCTACTATTTCCAGAGCCCTCCCTTCTACACAGTTTATGAAAATGTATATTCTTCTAAAATGCCTGATGATGTTCACAGACTCCTTGAGCGGCACAACTGCAACTTTTACAAGTTAGACCTGACGGATACATGTCAAATCCAAACTTTATAAAAGAAGCAGGATTAAACTACCGGATTTGTCTTCAGAAGGGGGAAGGGATGAGAATTAATGCATCTTTTACCACCAAAAACTTAAAAAACTAGCTCATCCCAGGGATGAGTAGCAAATTCATCACTGAAGCCAGTTAATTTTTATCTGAATCTTATTTTTACGTAGCTTACAAACATTGGAGTCAAAAAGGTGACTTAACTATGTAAACTCGTGCAATGCAGTCTTTTTTTAAATCTGAGGGGAAAAAAAAGCATTAAAGAAGACACACAAGGAACTCCACTCATACAAAGGAACTGTACATACAAACAGACAACCTCTCAAAACAGACCTGAAGAGATGATGTATTTTGATAAAGCATCCATTTATAACAAACTAAGTCTCAGTCTCCAGTCATCCAGTTAGTTTTTAACTAAAATCTGGGTGTCTGCCAAGCCCAAAGAAGATTAAGGGCTTCTTGGGAAGAGGACTAGTTTGAAAGGCCACTGGAATATGAAGAAAACTGAACTCAAAACATATATTCCCACCAGAATTTAGTTTTCCTTAGATGTTTGTTTGAACTGCTTTTCTACATATATATTTTTAACTTGAAGTATTATTTATATATAAACAGATAGATAAATTTGCAAATGGAACTTGTGTGGTCTGGTCCTTTTTTTTCTCAAAGATTAAAAGTTTAGAGAGTTCCACCATTCTGTGAAGTGTTGGCAGGTCCAAGCCTCTAATCCCAAACAGCCCTATTTTAAGGAATAAGGGGTGAAAAAATGAAGAAATATTGTTCACAGTTGCTGAGAAGAGGTTAACAATAGAGGATGTGAGGATACTTTTTAGTCTTTTTTTTCCTTAGACAATGCGTGGTGAAGAGCTACTGTTTAACACAATTTTTCCATCCTTGAGCAACTGGGACGGACACAGCCCAGAATTAAGGCAGAGCTGTTCCACAGCGAGAGGAAGGGGCACAAAGACTCTTGTGATTTTTGTGTCTTCACTGTCCTCACCTTCAGTGTTTTACCCAGCTGTGCTGTGCTGTGCTGCACCTCTCTGGCACAAAATTGGGCGCTGCTGCCCCCAAATTCATCCACCCACACTTCCCGTGTGTGGTGAAGCTGAAGAACACCGGCGGTTTACCCAGAGGTCAAGCAGAAGGGACAAAGAGAGGGACCATAGAACAAATGCCATCTTGGAACTGAAAATTTGCCAAGGGCTATTACAAATGGCTGGCAAAACTTGTTCGTTTTTATAGTAATTACATAACCTCAAAGGACACAAATACTGAATGCAGCACACAGCAAGACACCGTCCTACGAGACACGCTTGGCACTGGGTTGTTCTGTAAAATATATCACAACAAATATCACAAGCAGCAGCTGAACAACACACATCTTTTCCACACTTGGTAAATAAGCTTTTCACACCCTGGTCCTCTCACTGGCACACATCCTCATGGGGAACAGACAGGGTCCACATAATCAGGCCATTAAAAACTGAGGGAGTGTAATTTTTTTTTTAAAAATTATTTCCTCAATTATTACAAGTGTGTTTTGGAGATTGGTTACTGTCTACATATTTTAGGCACTTAAAATCTTGAGGAGACATGCCAATGTTCAGCTGAATATTCTGTTCTAAAAACTTTGATATTAAACATAATTACAATCCCACTCTTCTTGATTAAATAAGTACTTATTGTATCAGTCAAACATATGTATTTTTCCTCTGTGGTTTCCAAATTAACACAATCTCATGCAGAAGTCAGAGCTTTATTTTTGTAGTGATATTTAATTGGGACAGCCACTTCTTTTTGAGCGGAATGAAAACTCATGCATTACCTTTGGACAAGCATTTCATGGCTGTAAAACAATGCCCTAAGAAGGGAAAAGAAATGCAATCACAGTTTTTTGGAAGTCAGAAAGAAAGCATATGAAAATGGCAAGGATGTGATCTGAAGGAAGAAATCTGGAATGTAGACTCTACATAATGTTATTCCACATAGTAAAGCAAGTCTCAAAGCTTTCTTATGTGGTTGTTTTTTTTTCCCAATGGAGGAAGGAGGAGAGGGGTAGAAAGAGGATGTTTCTAACTCCCAGCCGAGTTAATTTGTAAGGAGATGCAACCATGAAGTTTCTGACCTGTCAGGTCCACGATCTAAAAACAAACCATTTCAGTGTTTTGCGTGAAATAATCTACACGTGAGGAGCCCACATTTCCAGCTGTTAGCTCCGAGTGGGATACAACGTGTATTTAAATCGAACAGCACCATCTAGCAGGTCCTCACAACTTTACTTAGGAGGGCAGTTGCTACTTGACAATACATCAGTTTAGCAGGCTTGCCCTGAAAATTATTACATATTTTCAGACCAAACGAAGTATTATGTGCTTTACAGCACCAAGAACCCGAAGAAAAATCAGCTACAATGAAAGTGTACGATTGAAAACTGTTTAAACTTTCAGCCCCACGACCAGAGCACTTGTGCGTGTGGCTAGCACTGAGTAGCTTTTGCAAAACAGAATTAAAACAACATGATCCTCATCCCATCCAATGCACAGCAGCCCTATGGATTTGTTTTCAGTCCCACTGTGAGATCCCACTGTGCCCTTCAGTGATTTACCGAGTGTATTGACAAACACCAGCAACCATGTACCACGAGGAAATGGTTTAATTCCCTAATTTTGCTAAGACAAAATAAACAGTGCTTCCACGAGCCGGTTAAGCAATTATTTTTAAAATTATCCCTCCGCTGGAACTAAGAAGTGCCACTAGTTGATCAGATTCCAGAGTCAAAGTTGTGTCTCCCGCTCCATCTCAGCAATTAACGCTTCCCGTCAGTGCTGCCTCTGTCTCCCTCCACTTTCCCGTGGCAAAGTTAGGTGTGAAATTGTCAAACGCCTCAAATTCCCCTTCTCCCGTAGAAACAGAGATGCCTGGCCTGCTGCTGGTGCAGGAACCGTGCATGCCAGCATCTGGAATTAGGAAGTCTTAAAAAAAAACCAAAAAACCAAAAAACAAAGCAACAACCAAACAAATCCAAAAATAAAAGCGAACAGAACTAGCCTAACATCAACCAAAAAAAAAAAAAAAAAAAAAAAAGAAAATAAAAGGCAAAAAAGCAAATGTAATGAAACACAGAATTAGTAAACTCACACACACAAAAAAAAAAAAAAGAAAAAAAAAGAAAAAGAAAGAAAAGAGCCAAGGAACAAAAAAAAAACTTTTAGGTGAAGGTTCAAGACAAACTGCCTGAAGAGAAACTCCTCGGCCGTGCCCGGAGCGCAGCTCCCGGTGCTGAACCCGCTCGGAGCGATGCGAATTTTGGAACGGAGAGGTGCGAACCTGGTCTCGGGACCGAGGTGTCCGCCTTACCCCGACCTCCCCACCTCCGCTACACTTCGGCCCCCTCCTCCTCCTCCTCTTCCTCCTCCTCCTCCTCCTCCTCGCTCGGGCTTTTCCTCCCCCTCCACCCCACCGTGCCAAACCGGCCTCGGTCACGCCAAGTCGCAGCCGCTACAGGACAACTTGAGGAGACGCCGTCCATTCCCAAAAAAACTGTGTTTTCCTCCCCGTTCTCCAGCGCTGCGGGCACTCCCCAGCCCTCCCCAGCAGGAGCGCGGCTCGCCAATTAGAAATTAAAAATAAAAATAACAAAACGCAGCGTGAGTTTGTGCGGGCAGCGGGAGCCCGGGCGGGGGGCGCGGTGCCCGCTCCCCTTTGTGCCCCCCGAGAGCCGACAATGCGGGGCGGCCGTAAAGTTGTGAGGCGGAGAGAGCCGGGACGCCAACCGCGACCCCTGCCCGGGGCTCTTTGTTACCGGAGGGGTCCCGGCACCTTGCGGGGCCGGGCTGTGCGTGTGTGTGGGGACAGCACCGCCACATCCCCCGAGCGGGACACCGCGTCCCGGTGAGGCGAACCCACCGAGCGCGGCCGCTGCCCTCCCCTCTCCGCCGCAAAGTTTGTGAGGGGGCCGCGGGCGGGCGGGCGGGCGGGGGGCCGTGAGGGGGCGGCGGTGTGAGGGGGTGTGTGTGGGGGGGGGGGTGATGGAGCACTCACTTCTCGCGGGCCTGGCTGTCGGACGGGACGCTGCTGTTGCTCTTGCCTTTGCCGTACATGCCTGCGGAGAAGCTCCCGACTGTCACGCACCTGTCAACCCATCACCGCCTCCCCGGGACCGGCCCCGTCGCCACGGTGACGGGCGCCACACGCGGCCGCCATTGGCCGGGCCCGCCTCCCGCCCCGCTGATGGACGGGGCGCGCATCCGGCCCCGCCCACCCCCCCCCCGCCCCCCGCGCGCGCGCCGCTCCCTCCCCGCGCGAGGGGGAATTAGAAACGGTTCGAGAAGGATTTTTAAACAACCGGCTGTTCCCGGCGCCCGCCGCGCCCCCCGCCGCCGCGCCGCCGAGCGGGGAGCGCGCGCCGGAGAGGCGCAAACTGCGGAGCGGATTCGCGGCCGGCCCGGATCGAGAGCTGCGCCGCGGATCGTGTCTCTCCGTGTCACCCCTCACAGTCCAAATGCACCCCACAAAAGCGCACCCCGAGGGTCTCTTCACACCCCCAGGGTCTCTTCACACCCCGAGGGTCTCTTCACACCCCTCACCCTATGGGGGAAAGGGACACCCAGCCGCGGAGGACAGAGAGAGAGGGCTGGAGGTGGGGAGGAAATATTTCCTGAACTGAAGCAGCGTGTCTTAAGAGTAGCTTAAAAATAATAATAAAAGAATAATATTAAAAAAAATAAAAACCACCCACGGTCTAAAGAAAATTCAAGGAAATGCTTTGATTTTTTTTTATTTTTTTTTTTAAGTTACATGGCAATAATTGCGTGCTCCGCAGAGACGGGAGAGAGAGAGAGAGAGAGAGCAGCCACTGGGGCCATTTGTTACTTGATTTCTCTTTTTTTTTTTAAGTACCCGAAGCTCTGGAATTTTTTCCGCTCTTCCTCCTCAACCACAGTCCCAAATTTTGCAGATATTGATGCCTGCTTATGTTTAAACTGCGGCTAACCTTCTAAACCCACTCCCGTGTGTGACCCGTGGGAGGGGGGCTCTCTTTTAGTATTTCGATGTTTCAAGTGTGTAATGCCAAACCCTTATTTTTATTTTTTTTTCTTTTTGGTCAAACGCACCCAACATCCACCTCCCCGTCGTGTTGGCAGGGAAATGTCAGGAACAACCAGGACCACGGAAAACCCGACCAAAATTCAAAATTGGAGCAGGGAAGTTGTGCCAGACGTAGACCACCAGCATCTGTTTATCATTGCTGGAGCTGCAAGGGGAAAAAAACATCCTCTGGATGCTGAGCTGCCGGAGCGGAGGGAATGGTTGGTGAGGTGAAACTGGGGAGGGGGGAATTAGGAGAGTATTAATGAGCGGCTGGGACAAATTAGCGAGGGAGCAGCAGAGACAACAGGAAGGAGTGCGAGAGGCTGGGGAATCCGAGGTGCTTGTGGCAGTTCCCTGCCCGGCGTGGGATGTGCGTGCTCTTGGAACCCACCCCAACAATTCATCAGATTGAAGCACACGGCAACAAAAGCCATTTTGTGCCAAAGTTGGTTGTCTTGGGCTCTCACCCCATGACATGATTTTTTAAAATATTTTTATTAACAGCGTGAGACTGTGGTTGGAGTGGATCTGAGGAAAGGAGTGAATTAGGCTGACATCATTCACCCCGGTTGGGACCGAGGCTCCTGCTCCCGAGTTACACCCAGGAAACCAGAGGAAGCGGGTTATGGTGTGAGGAGAAAGTGGGAAAGGAGAAAAAGAGGGAGGAAGGAGTGAGTGGATGGGAAGGAGAAGCCGGCAGAGGAAATGAAGGACGAGGAAGCGAAGGATGCGAAAACGGGGGAGCAAAGTAAAAGCACAATGCTCGGTGAATTTAGGGGGAAAGAGTAGGGGGAGAACCTGAAAAGTTACTGCAGGGCGAGCCAAAGGGAGGCGTTTATCCCGCACTGGGGCAGAGGAATTGTCGCAAGTGCCTCGGAGCTGATGTGGTGGCCCTGGGGGCAAGCAGGACACGGCTCAGAGACAGGCAGGGAGAGAGGGAACCAGGGCAGAGAACAAAGAAGGACTTGGGCTGTGGGTAAGACTTAAAAGAAGGCGGCTGAGGAAAGGAAAGGAGGGATGGTGGACATCCTTGGTCAAGCCACAGGGGTAGCGGAACTTTGGTACAGATCACCCGGAGCAGAACTTGGATCCCAGTGCTTGTTCGCCCTTGGGGAAGGGCGGATCACCCATCAGGAGGGATGAGTAGCTCCTCTCCAAGGCTCCCCTCTGCCCCCCGTCAGCCGTGGTATCACCAGGGCTTTCACGCTAAACTGATAACGGTGGCGAAATCCTTCCCGGGCGAGACAATCCTCCAAAGCTCTCGTTTTGTTTGCCTCAATGGTTTTGGTTGATTTGTTTGTGGTTTAAGGGTGGGGGATATTTCGGGAAGGCGGTCAGTGTTGTGTCAGCCCTGCGAGGGGAGAAATTTTCTTCTTGAAAAGGACAATGTTGAGGTGTTTCCTAAAAATGTGATGGCAAGATAGCGGTAACGTCCTTTGGATATGCATCCCAGGACGGGACTTTCGCAGCTGAAAATGCTTTGTTTCCCGTTTTCCATGTGATTTATTTGCATCCCCGTGGTTTGTTTTGGCCTGAAGGGCCGCCAATGGGTTGATTGTGATTTTGGGGCAGAGCGGGATGAACTTCGGGAGGGAGGGGATGAGGGAGGGGATGGGCCCTGGGACGGGAGCACGAGGGTGAGGCGAATGTGAAACGCTGGATGTTAAAAATTCTCTTCACAGGTCTGCCTCCCAAGCTACCTAATATTAACATTCAGGTGATGACTTTGTAATTTTGCTTAGAGATCCTTCAGCGGAGAGCGCAGGAATGGAGATCACCTCATTGCTGTGGGTGTGAAAAGAGGAGAGCGGGGCTGGGGTGATGCTCCGGAGGAGGAGCGCGGCCCGGGGTGTGATCCATCAGCGCCCGACGGCAATAAATACAGATAACTGGCATTAAAATAAGGGAGGGAATTAAAATAAGGACCGGCAGAACCTCCCCACCAGCGTGGGGACAAAAGTTCGCTTAAGCAGGCAGGAAAATGACCACGGAAACCCACCCGAGCGGTGTTCCCTGTTCCGTGTGTCAGGAATTCTCCCTGAATTCCCCCTGAAACACGGGGCACCCCTGCCCTTGCTCCATCACTCCGAGCACAACACCGCTCTCAGCAGGAGCATTTGGATCTCACGAGGCCAACGCTGTAATTAATGAGATTTGAGGCGCGAGCACTGAGACAAAATTCGAGTTTCCAGCGTCAGGAATGAAGATCCAGCCTTTGTTACAAAAGGGGATGAGGGGTGGCAGTACTTTAAAGCTTCTCAGTCCGACACTGGAAAGGAATTCACAATGTATTTTTAGAGTGTTATAAAAATCTCTTACATAATGCTGATTAATTCTTCGGTTTTAGGGAAGAGCACTGGGCTTTGTGTGTAAGAGTGTTGACCAGCTAAGCCACTGACAAGGGCTGGTTTGGGCTGGATTTTTTCTTCCCCTTTAACTTTTTCTTGGATACAGAAAGCTGCAATTATTCAATTATTACAGGATTTTGCTTTTTGTTTGGGCGTGTTATGAATATTATTCTGGAAACTGTGCCTTATTCTTGGAAGTCTTTATCATTTTAAAACATATGTTATGTTATATCACCCTGTCTGAGATATAGGATAGCTCCAAACTGGGTGGTTTTTGGCTTTTTTCCCCCTCTCTCTTGCTGCAGCTAGTTACAGTATGGATTAATGTTAACGATGTCTGCAGTGAAACATTGCTTGTGTGGCTGACTTAAACAATGTCACATCACAGGTTCACAGTTTTATTGATACAGTAATACCTACAATTGCTTTGTATTTCTGCCCGTTCTGTTGGTCCTCAAAAATCATTGATTAATCCAACTGGCAGGTTTCACACAGCCCTTAACAAAGGGCTATTCAGGAAATTAAGTCCGTAAATGCTACTCCCTTATTTTAATTCCAGTTATCTGTACTTATTGCTGTGTAGCAATAAGATTTTTGGGGCAAGATATCGTGGGAGAGAGATGCTTTTGTTTGGTCTTTTTCAACAGATACCTGACCGAGGCAGCTTTGAAGCTTTTTCTGAGGAATCCTTCGTCCTTCTGTAGAATGTTTAATCTTCCTGTGGAGTGTCTAACTATGAGACTCGTTCTGCAGACTTTCACAGGGGTTGCTCAGGTGATGAACGGGTCCTAAATCGTTACTGGAGAATGGAGAGAGCAGGAATGCGTAGGTCAAAACAAAATCTTTATTTGCCCCTCTTTTCCAACAGGGAGGGGGGGAAAAAGTAATTATAGCTCAGGGGTGGGGAAGGATAATCCTTGTGGGTCCCTTCCAGCTTGAGATACTCTGTGATTCTGGATCTCAAATAAAGGCTTATCAATAACCCAACAACCCCTTGCACTTTCTGCTTCCAGCAGGAGCCACAATTCCCCCTGTCCCTGCAGAAGGAGCCAGGATGACTTTGCAGCCTCCTGTCACACAGCTCAGCCATGAAGGGGCCAGAGACAGCGCAAATGCCACCAGCTGGGAAGCAAAACTTGCTGAGAACAAACCTTCCCCGGGTTTATTGCTCTTGCTAGCTGTGCTGTGGCTGCTCACACACTGCACACGTGTGCAGCTCAGAATGGGGAAATTATCTGTACGGGCACCCAGCGCCACACTGTCTAACCTTGCAATGGAAAAAAAACGCGTTTGTGTGTACTGGTTTCCTCCACTGCTTCTTTTCCTGGTGTTTTATGTGGTTTCAGCCCTCCCTGGTGCTGTTTCCACTGGAGGGGCTGTCACAGCCTCTCTCTCTCACACAGACACTCATGTGTGTGCCTTTGGTGCTGGCTGAGGGTTGAGCTCATGCTGCCTCTCGTGAAGAAAAACTCAAATCCAGTCCTTCCTCTTCTCCCCAGTCACATATTTTAACTTCTATGATGGGAATTGATACTTTTCTTGGTGAAATGTATTTGATAACTGGGTTTAAAATTATGTCTACATATATGTATAAGCACTCTTAGTATGGGAGAGCTCCCTGATTTCATTGGTTAGCTGGTTGTTTTAAGCCATTTGATAGAAATCACATTTTACCAGACAACCCAATGTTTGAGGGGGGGAATATAGCATGAGAAAAAGTACATTGCCTTAGTTATTAATCATTTGAAGGATAGCTGAAAGTCACCATTGCTGGCTCAGTGATGTGTCACATCAGGAAGGGGCTCCTTGTGCTGTGTGTGGCAATAAACAGAAGAGAAACTGCATGAAAACTGGGGATACAGGTGGATGTGAGGCTAAATGGGACCTGGCCCTGCATGAAGCTCCACATGGGCAGATCTCTCCCTGCCTGACGTGGGTGTGGGGATTTGTGGCAAAGAACTTTGCTGCTGAGGTGCCTTAGCTGCCACTTTTAGCAGTTAGTGCTGTGCTAAAAAAAAAAAAAAAATACCAGCCAGAAACCACATTAGCAGCATCAAAATTGCTTTTATTTTCAGGGTCAGTACCCTCAGCAATATGTTGCAGGAAAAGGTTGATCCCAGAATGGAGCTGCTGATAATTCCCGAGTTGGTTTGACATATGCAGGCTGCTGTCGACTTCAACAGGCTTATTTAGCACATTTGTTTCTCTGGGTTTAGGATTAGCCAAAATGCAATTTTGTGAAGCTGCACTGATGAGGTTGCCTGCAGTGGGCTGTGGACCTGGCAGGACTCAGGTTGCACAAGTGTGACAACAGAAAATCTTCCCCTCTAGCCTGGACTTAACCATGGTTAGGGCAAATAACCTCTTCAGAAGGCTCAAGACTTTTGCATTTATTAAAGTCTGCTCATGAAAAAGAGACTCCAAAGCAAGCAGTGGTGCTCAGAGCGAAGTTCTGGGAAAATAAATGGCCAAAGCCATCACGCTGTGACAGCTTTGGCAAACCTTTGCACAGTTTTATAAAACAAACACGTGTGCTGTTCCCTTCTCTGGGTCGGTCTTTGCACTAGAAGTTCATGCCTAACTCAGAAGATGAAGAAAATGGTTCTGTCTCTCCCTCTCCATGTATTTACTGGGCACATACTGGTGAATTAAGAGCCACCCCTGTGCTGCACCACGGCAGCCACGCTCATCCAACCCCTCTGCAGCTTCCCTGCCTTCATCAACACGTGTAAACCACAGGAGATGGAGACCATTCCAGCCTGTTTTGTGGGCCTGATATTCCAGGCAGCTAACTCCTCTGGACCTCAAGAATCACAGGAAATAAAACAATTGTCTGTGAGCTTGCTCTGCTTTTCAGCAAGTACAAAATGTGCCAGTGGATTCTGATAACTGAGTGTGCCTCCACTGGCGCTCCACACCAGGATTTGAGCTTCTTCTGCTTTTTATGGACCATTTGAGGCCTTTGTGTTCGGCTAAGAATATATTGAGAACTGAGAAAATTTCACTGTTTTGGACCTGTGGCCCGAGGAGGAGGTGGTGATGATAAAAAGCACTGGCACATGTCAAATCAAAGTGGTACCAGTTCTGACTGATTGTTTAACAGCTGGCCCAGTGTTAAAAGTAAGAAAGGAAATCACAGCATTAATCATTAGTTTATGCTTATGCATGTTTTGTTTCTCCCAACACACATACACGTGATATTGTTCATATATATTGTTCATCTGGTAAGGAAGAAATAAAAAAAGAAATTGATACCGGTCTGCATATGTGTTCAAAAGCTTAGCAAATTCTCTTAGCTCTGCTGGGGATCAGATTTCATGAAACTGCAATAAAAAAAATCCTTTTTTACCTTGTCTTTGTGTGTTCTGAGGTGGGTTTGTAAGGTTTGAATTACTGGGTAATAAGCAAGAAGTCTCCTTTTCATGAGCCTGCAGCTGGGAAATGGACAGTTTAATATTAATGAAAAGAACAAACTCTCTCCTTTCTCCCTCCTTTCTTCTCTGCCCTTCTGCTTCATCCTTTCCTTTTCTGAGGTCCCTGTCCTCAAACTGCCTTTGTGGAAGTCCAGGTTGAGCTACAAACCAGGTGCAGAGCCAAATTTTTAAATTTCTCACTTGATGACTGCAGTGAGAGTCAAATGACACCAACTTGTGAACATCAGGATAGAAAAAATCCACTACGTATCTGCAATTATTTAATTAACTAAGAGACTAGTGTCACATGAATCTGCAGACTTCCCTTAAGTTCCCTGATACCATCATCCCAGGGGGAGGTATGAGAAGATGGAAATAATCACTCCTGGCTTCTAAGATGAGAAAAACCCTAAATATTTGTTGAGAAATACGTGGCACAAAGGATTGAATAGAAGTAACCAGCACCACTAGTCTGTATTTTGGTGTGTATGCAATTCAAGTCCATCCTGGTTTCCCTTCCAGACAATAAATTGAAGTTAAATACCAAGGTTGAGCACTTTGCCACTTTTTTTTGTTTTGGTTTTTTTTTTTTTTTTTTTTGTGTGTTTTTTGTTTGTTTGTTTGGGGTTTTTGTTTTGTTTTCTATTTGGTTTTGGGGGTTTTTTGTTTGTTTGTTTACATTAAAGACTTATTCATATCCTTTTTCCTTTAAGCCAAGTGCTGGGAATTCGGTGTGATGGATAAGAGAGGACAACCCCAAATTAGGGTCTCCAGGGACTGCTGGGACTAAGGTAAACATAAAGTTAACTCTTTTTTAGGATTTCTGGCTCAATGGAGCTCTTGGCACCCAAAAGATTGTTGCGAGAAGTCATGGGGCTGAACTGAGAGAGCTCCAAAAGATTTCCTGCTTCTCCATTTCTGGGAGTAAATGGAATACTATGAAAAAAAAACAACAAAAATCAAAAAACAAACACCTTTGCTGATGACTTCTCTGCTGATTTTTGAGCTCTCCTTTCCATGTCTAATCCTGTTTTTTTTAGGGAGCTGAACACAACGAGTTCCCCTGACCTTGCTGGGTCCCTGAGAGGTCTGTCCTTGGGGCTGGAGGGCTTGAGTTTCTCCCCAGGTGGGCTCTCTGTGCCAGGAAATGTGGGTTTGTGTGGGTTTGTGGGGGTTTGTGAGGGTTTGTGAGGGTTTGTGAGGGTTTGTGAGGGTTTGTGAGGGTTTGTGAGGGTTTGTGAGGGTTTGTGTGGGTTTGTGAGGGTTTGTGAGGGTTTGTGAGGATTTGTGAGGGTTTGTGAGGGTTTGTGAGGGTTTGTGAGGGTTTGTGAGGGTTTGTGTGGGTTTGTGAGGGTTTGTGAGGGTTTGTGTGGATTTGTGAGGGTTTGTGTGGATTTGTGTCCCCAGCCCCATCCCGAGCAGGGACAGTGGTAGAACCAGGTCCTGAGCATGGGAACAAGGATGCCTTAGGGCAGCCTCGTCCCATCTGTTCTCTCCACATCCTTGCTGCCTGGCACGGTGTTTTCCTAGGGTATCTGAGTATGGAGGAGCCTGAAATCTGAGGTGAATTGTGTTATTTAAAATATCCTTCTTTTATGGTCAGAATTTATAGCCCAGCTTCACGACGCTTGCCTGACCTGTGGCACCCTCCTTCCCCTGGTGATTTAGAAGCGGCCTTGAGAAGCAGGGAGGTTTTAACTCCTTCCATTTCCTTTCATGTTCTGGCTTTTTTTTTCCCCCCTTCATTTACTCCTGCCCATAAAAAAGCCACAAAACCCAAAATATTCTTCCATCAGCACAAGATATGTCCGACCAGTGCACTCCAAGGTGTGGATTTTAGTGAGGGAGGAGGATGTGCATTTTTTTATGTGGCTGCTGGTAACAGACAGGAGTTCAGGGCAGGGAGGCAGGTGTGGAAAACCTCCTCCATGGCCTGGGTGGGCATCATGTCCCGTTATGACAGCTCACTCCATTCCAGACACTGGCCAGCAAACAGAGATGTAGAGGAGGAGGGCTTTTTTAATCTCTCTCCTTGGCCTCGGGGGTTTTGGTCCAGAAAGAGGCAGAAGTTATATAGAATTCCCAGAATACAGCTGGTGAACCCCTAACTGCATTGGCTATAATAGGATTTTTTACTGTGTGAGGAATGAAATATCAGGCTCTCATTGTTATCTTTCCTCATGCAGCTGTAAAGAATTTATTTGTGAGTTTTACAATATCCAGAGGTGGTTCCTTTGTACCCTTTTCCAATAAAGTTGAAATGCCAAAAGTTCTCCAGTTTGTTATTGCTCTCCTTGCCCAGCACAAAACCCTTGTAGCAATCCTGAGAGTGGCACCTCTGTCTGACCATGAACCTCCTCTTAAAGAGACCATCTGGTTTCCCTAGCTGGTCCTTCTAATGCCATTTTTCAGCCTGCCCCAACACCCAGGATTCTCCAGCATCTTGCCATGTATGTTTGTGGTTTTGGAGACCTGCATTATTTGATGTGTCCCTGGCAAGAGCCTGGGTCATACTTTGCATTTTAAGCATTCTCTGTTCAGTGTATTCAAATTTCTCAGAAGCCCGACAGTGTCCCACCTTAGAATGGAAAAAAAAAAAGTTATTTAAGATGTGGGGATAAAAATGTTTCACTAGAAGTTGCCTGGAATAACAAAGGACTCAGGGAACCAGTTCAGTTCCATCTGCCAGCTCATGTTCCATGTGCCAGCTTGCTCCCTGGTCTTCCTTTTTTACCATTCTTCCCCTGGTTTTTCCTTTTCTACCATTCTTAAAGAGCTTGGCCCTGATTTCCTGCTGCCTCAAGGGGAATCGGGAGTCAGCTGCAATGTGGCTTCCCAAGCACTCCACTTTTCCATCCTCAGCCAGTGGCTGCTCCTGAGGATTGTTCTGGGTTTGGTACCGTGGGTTGAGCACATTTAATCCTGATAAACACAGCCCTTGTTGTTTTTTTTTTTTTTAAAAAAGACCGTCAGTATTAAAGGTAACTTGCATATTCATGGAAATGAAAAATTAACCCAGCAAAGAAATGCACAATAATAAGGAGATTCAATTTATATTATATTTATATTTCTCCCTCCATGCTGATACTTTAAATTCAGTTTTAAGGATTGTTTTAAGAAATACCTTTTTTTTTTTTTTAATTTATTTTTACAATGGGACTTTTTTTTGTCTCTTTCAATGAGTTTTGCGAAACCTCTTTCACTTCCATAGGTGGTTGTCACGTCTGGGGAAACAGCACAAGGTAAATCAGCTTGTGGCAGGCTTGATGGTGTTGTCTGCTGAGGAGTGAACTTCCCATTGAAACCAGGATGGTTTGGAGCAGGGTAGGACTGGGAACTGCTACTGAGGAGTAAGGAAACAACAAACTTAAAGGTTTTTTTGAAGGCCATGAGGGAAACTGTGAAGAAAATCTTTCATTCAAACCATTCCAGTGAACCTCTCTCGTATATATCTATAGATTTTCAACAGGCACTACCCAGCCCTCTCCTCATTTGAGAAGTACTTGGGCAGATGGATGTCAGAACAGTAGGGGACTAATAAACTGTTTCAAGGTTCCCAGATTAGGTCTGCTTGGAAATTAAAAATAGATTTATAGACACTAGCATCCAATCTGAATGTTGTCCCAGATTTCCATGGTTCCAGCGGTATCTTGCTCCTAACACAAACAAAAATGTCATAATTTGTTTTCCATCCTCTCTGATGTCAATGTAAACAATATTTTGGATGGGTCTGGATATTTCTCTGCATGAGGATGAAGCTGAACTTGGCAGTATTGTGTGAGTTTATGGGAAACAGAAGGGGAATCTGACCAGCTTGGTGACGTGGTCCAAGCTATCTGAAACTCTGAGAATGTCTTACACAACGAGAAGCACACCAGAGGTAAAGATGTGTGCTGCATCCCTTGTTTCAGTGCTCATTGGAGGAAAACCACGTCGAGACTTGAGTTAAAATGGCCAAAGGCCAAATCAAAAGGCATAGGAATGGCCAATGTCTCACACAATTCGCCATCTCCTAAAGGTATTAGCATGTTCTGTGATTATATTCTCTTTATTTCAAGCTTTGTGAGGAAAGTCAGTTCATACAGGGCCACGTAAGAACTCAGCAAAGGCAAGATTCACCCCATTCTCCCCTGTTTGTTTCTATTTCTTTCCCATCTATTCCTATTCTGTTTAAAAATAACCTGGTGCATCTTTCCTGGAACACACTGATATATATACATGCATCTATATATATATGTATATATGTATATACATATGTAGTCTTGGTTCTTGTCTTGCAATTTGCATTTGAATCCCATCAACTGCATTTCCCAAGGAATTCTTGCATTCAGACCCAAGTTACCAAAAACATTTGTTTGTTGCTTTGCATTTTTTATCTGTTGGCAGAGGACTGGAAGCCCCTTCCTAAATTGACATATTGGAAATATTTTAGGGCTAATTTTTCAGAAGGAGTTCAGGTAAGCAAGTGAATGTGAATGAGTACAGCCCATCCTGCTTTTCAGAGAGCTGCACCTGGAGTGGGAATTCAGGGGTCAGTACACCCTGGAACGAGGGATGCTGGAGCTCACCACGGGCACTGTGTGCTCCCACCCTTGCCTGCAGACCTGGCTCTTCATTTGGAAGTCCAGTCACTCCCCGCTGGGCTAACAGTGCTCTTTACCACAAAGGGTTCAGCAAAAACTGCTGCTAAAATTGCTCTGTGGTCAGTTGTGTTTCTGGAAATTAATTTCCAGGCTGCCGTGAGGAGGTTTATGGCACACACTGCCTCTCCTCACTGCCAGAAGTTGCCCAGGACCTTTCCATGCACGAGCAGAGGGTTTTAAAATATGCACTTGCTTAGGCACATTATTATTCTAAACATCTCGAAGTTATGCTCTCCCTCCTTGTCACCATAGAAATGATTATACAATTACGTTCCCGTTCCTCTGCACAAGGGCTGC